TCTCCACCGCGTATATCCTGTTTCTATCCCTATTACCAAGTCTATGATTTCCAATGCCATAGTCTCTTGTGTGCCAACCCACAAATGCTGTGGTTTCACTTGTTTTGAGTTGGTTTAACGTAGAACAACAACATTTGTGGGTAGGCATACAAGAGACTAGGGCATAAGAAGTCATATACTTGGTAGTGTGGATAAACAGACAATTGATCTAAGGATTGGCTTTACTTATCTCTTTGACGAGTTCTTGTGTGGTGCTAAGAATGGTAAGATTCACTGACGATGCCGACTACGATGCCAGCGAAACGTCTGGAAATTATCATGCATACTATGGACTCTGGACTAGGTGCCTTCCTCTAGGTCTTCCTACCAATATGACCAAGTTGCGAAAACAAAATCCAACAACTTCCATGCTACGAAAGGAGACTCCGGCCATACAAAAGGCCAAACCATCTTGGTCTTCATACTTTCGATTTATTTTATTTCGCTAGTTAAACTATACGGTAGAGTGAAAATGTATTCTGGAATGGGATGGTAGCTGGCGAATGATAAAATAATTTCAGCTTGAGGTAAGACGTATGTAAGCAACTTTACTCAGAGTTGTGATTTGGAAGGATTTTTTTGCATAATACCCTATATTTTTCACTTTTAGGTCATTCACATTCTATTCAACTTATGTACGACAATGCAAAGTTTATTTTTCATCCACTTTTGCTAAGATCACTTAACTTTCATTATCTTGCATTTTTAATCGAAATTTAAATTTACTAGAAAGTTAAAGGAAATGATTTGATCTCGTTTTCGCAACTCGGTGTATGTTAAGGCGACCTAGATGCACGCACCTTCTTCAGAATTCATAGTATCCATGACAATTTACAATGTCGGATGGTTGACTTGATACATTCTCGGATATTTTAGGCATGGTAGTAGGCATCGTCAGTGAGCCTTATCATTCTTAGCACCACAATACCTATCATAAAAACTAGTGAAGTGACTTTGAAAAACTTCTGATAATTCGACCAAGTTGGGAAAACGAGTTTAAACCACTACTATTCAATGTAAGAAGACTGTGAGCATACTAAAGGCCACATCATCTTGGTGTTCATACCTTCGACTAAAATTTAAGAATATGAAAGGTATTCACCCTATGGAGTGGTCCTTCATCACCTTAAACGAAATAGAGTGAATACCCCTCATATTACTAATTTACTGGTAGTCTCGAAACTCTACTTAAATATAAAATTAGGAGCCTAAGCTCTCAATGGTTAATCAAATTGTTTTTCTACTGCCTCTTTATTTTACTTTACCCTACTCCAGCAATTCTAGCCTCATATAATGACGAGGACATTTACCTATTCGATGCTCGGGATAGTCGTCGACCTCCGCTACATAGATATTGTGGCCACCGCAACATGCAAACTGTTAAAGGTGTCAGTTTCTTTGGACCAAACAGCGAGTATATAGTCAGTGGGAGCGATGATCGATACATCTACATCTGGGACCGTGAGTCTGAGGGCTTAGTTCAGTGGATTTTGGCCAGCCAGACCGGAGTCGTCAATGCAATCGAGCCACATCCAAGTTTACCGGTTTTGGCTACTGCAGGGCTTGATTATGATGTTAAAGTAATGCTTACCTTTTGGCTTTTTTATTCATCATTATTCGCTCAATCTCTCTTAGGTGTGGATTCCCCATTACTCACATATAAGTTCGCTAATTATCCGTTTTTATCCCTTACTGTGGCTATCCGGAGGAACTCTTGACTACATTAGCCTTAATAAAATTAGCTCCTTCTTTATGCATGATTTGGACTTATTTGGCCAGGTTTTATGCTCAGCCTCAAATTCTTTTGCCTATGGATCAGCACGATCTGAGTTTGATTCGAATTAAAAGTTGAGAACTGCTCTAATTAAGACAAAAATAGAATAGGCAATTTTGTTCTATAACTCATTAAAAGCCAATAAATCTTCTTAGTTTGATCTTGCCCTTAATCCTTTGGTGCTTGAATACCTACTATTTACCTTTCTTATAGTATAGCTTTAGTAAAAGTTCTGAGCACTTTTATTTTCACCTATTATTATTATCTTACACAATTTTCTATCTAAATATTGCGACCATTGTTTGGCTGTATGGCACTTAGATGGCACCCTGGAATTCCATGGAAACATGAGCTATTATATTTTGTTTAGAAGTAGGTTTTTGAGACTAACAGTAGATCGTCTATCCTTGAAGTGTATTGACCCTATTTCGTTGAAAGTGATGAGGAGGCTATGTGTTCCTTGAAATTTTCATCTGACTTGTTATCCAAGGGCACTCGTGGCATTGTAGCGTAATTATTAACGTATCGAGATTATATGCTGCAATGTCATGGTTCGAGTCCCACTAGGGCTGCTGATGAGACCTAGGCGAGGTTGAAGCCGCTTGAGAATACTCTTTGGGAAAGCAGGGCTATGTGAAACTCAATGGAAACGTAAGGTCTACTCATATCATTGTGTGCAAATTTAATTACCACTCCTCTTATCACCTTAAACAAAATAGTATGGATACGCCTCATATATATGGCATTACCTTTTGTTTATTGTGAGAAGATCACCACTAACCAGTAACCGACTAATGATGGGCTCTCACTCTAGGGAAATTCGCCAAGAATTTTGAGACTTATCTCCCACAAAACCTAAAAACTTTCTTTACCAACCGTGGTCTCATGAGTTTGATGAAAGAATTATTCAACACCTTTATTTTTATTATATTGGTGCTTCTATCTATTTGCAACGCCTTCATTTTATTATCAAATTGCATTGTTTTATTATAAACATAAGATACGTCTTGGGTATGGTATTTTTGATGATATCAACGCTCTTCAATATTTCCACTATTTATTAAATTATCCCTCCGATTATTAATTTAAAAACATTTCATTGCGATATCTACCAGCGACTAATGCTATTAAATCCTCGTTATGGTTATGCAGAAATTTTGGTGTATGCCTAAAACAACGACTTTTTATTGGATTCTTGTCTTCTAGCCTACTATCGTAGTAATATATGAACTTGTTTTATATGCTTAAATTTTGAAATAACCAACTTTAGTATTTCAAAGTTATCCAACCTTTCGTCTTGACTTCTTTGTCTCTGTACTTTGTTATATGCTACCCTACTCAAACATTTTCCAACTTTGTTTGATAAAGATCTGGTCTCCTATATGCGCCCGTTCTCCTTGGCCTTCACCACATTGCTTTGATGGTTCCAGTAAAGCATCAGCTAAAATAAGTACCTCTGTTGATCTCCGATTAGGTGCTACTCGTGGCAGCGATGAAATTCGAGACTCCTATTTGGCCAAATCATTATTTTCATCTAAAGAGCTGTCTCGGGATTCGGTATTCATAGACGACCACCTTGGAACAAACAGACCAGGCATAGATAGTAGCACTTCGTCCTCTGGTATTGATTGCATTAGCAGTGAAGACGCAGACAAGAGTACGAATATAATGCCGGAGGTTCTGGAGAACAACTCTAAGCAATTGAATAAACTGGAGCCTGAGATAAATTACAAGAAATTTAAAGTTCCTTCTGAAAAACGTTTATCAAACACTGATTATTATTCTAGTAATGAATCAATAAGTGATGATCCTGAATCACACAACCAAGCCCGGGCACTACTTGGCGCGACGATTAACTCCGTTGCTCCTCGGCTTTCAGAGGATTCAAGTGACGACGAAGAAGCTTCAGAACTGCGTCTTGATAAGGTTCGTGAACAGCTCATTAGAGCCACCACAGCCGATTTAATTACTGGCCAACTTAACTGTGTACAATCTGATATGAATTCTATTGTAAGTCAACCTGATGCGAAAGCAACCCACGCCAATGGCGACTCCTGTTCAATCAGATTGGCCTCAATAGGCAAACGAAGCCTCGGTTTAGTCTCTCTGGATAATGAAGGCGGCTGCCAAAGTGATTTTAACACTGAATCTCAGAGAGCTCTTGATGATGAGAAGCGTCAAGAAGATAGCCGAAGTAGTATGCCATTCAGGTCCGAAAGGAAATTGGGGTCGGATGCAAGTGGGTCGATGAGTTCTATGCCAAAACGTCCGCGATTCTATTCACCATCTTCTCCACTGCAGCCCGGACTTGGCATTAGTGCAGTTTTTTCATCAGCTTCTGCCCATTCTCTCAACTCGCCATCTTCTCCTAACTCTCCATCACCATTACCCTCTGCTTCCACATCTTCTAATCGTTCAATCCAGCCAGTAGATTATTCTGCTAATAACTTGTCAGAAACCGCAGGATTAAATTCTGACGGCAAGTTAATTATCTCACAGATCCCCAGTGTTTCAAACAGCCATATTGTCTCCAGCCCTCAGATTTCCAGTTCTAGCCTTGACGCATCTGAGGCCCAGCTACGCGATCGGTTGCGTAGTCTTTTTTCATTCGTGGAAGCCAAGAAAAAAAGTGATATGTCGCGGCTCGGTTCTTGTTTATCTGAGGCGAGTTATTTAACTTCATATTAATGAAATGTTTTGGTTCAATATTGAGCATGCTGTTAAAGTGGAGACCAATAGGCCTTTTTTTACTTATGCATCTATAAATACATGCATATATTGAAGTAGCTTTACCAACCTCAATCTTTTTCATAGATTGGCTTTTTCTTTGATTCATATTCTATTACACTGTATTTTTTAAGCCTTATCTTTTCTTGTGATTGCCAACGCTAAGTATATAACCAAGCTCAACTTTAATTTTAAACATTAATTGGTTTACCTATTTAGGTAATCCTTTGATGGGGTTATTTTAAGCATAAAGTATGGTTGGAATTGGTTTTACAGGGTTCTATCAGAGCTGTTATATACCAAAGCTCGATTTTTCAAAGTTTCTCAATCCTTAGGGTAAACAATAAACAGTGCTTTTAACGATTTTACAAAGTATTTATGTGGAGTTCAAACCAGCACTTCAAAATGATTCTTTTATAGACAATTCGTGGAGATTTTCTCTTTTTTCTGCTCTACAGCTGAATTTATTTCATAGGTGTACAAGACCCGTACGAAAAAGTTCTTAATATGATCATTCATATTTGGAGCACTTATTTTTATAAAATGTGTACAAATTGTCATTCAACAATTATCGAATTCTGAAGTAGCCTAAAACGGATGTATGCATAAATATTTTTGCCAATTATTTGACTTTTGAAATACTGATACTTGCCTGAGCTCATTTTGATAATCATCAGGATTGGATATAAGTTGTTTGACCTTGTTTTCGCAACATAGTCTCATTGGTAGGAAGACCTAGAGGTACACACCTGGTCCGAAGTCCATTGTATGCATGATAATTTCCAGAGTCGGATCGTGGAAGTTGTACATTCCCAGACATTTCACCTGCATCGTACTTGGCATCGTCAATGAGTCTCGCCATTCTTTGCAACACAGTACAACTTGTCAAAGAGACAAGTGAAGCCGATCCTTTGATCAATTGTCTGCTAAACAATCGTGGTATTTCTCCTTCCTCCCTGGGCTAATCACCAATCTTATATCCTCGTATCACGCCTTCACTATCACAATTTTTATTTGCCTATTTAAATGTGGTATGGTGTGCCCTTTGAGCGGATTTCATGAGAAATCTCCATACTCAACGCTGGCTTTCTCACCCCCACCCCCTTTTACTCTTATTCTGGGAATGCCGATCAGAGTCTGCACTATTGTTACGCAGTCCTCATTCAAGAGGTCTAATCAGAGTCTACCTCTGGCCCCATAGGATCAGTCTGCCAGTATTCCACTCGACCCCTACCATCCCATCTCTGCTCCACGAGGCATTATTTCCCACACTCTGCTTCTGGGAGACTAATTCGAAGCTAAAGTCCTTGTGTAATTTTCATTGTCAATCCATTGCTTCATGGACTACGTCCACCGTAAAACAGGCCTTCTGTCAGCCAATTAGCTCTAGTATTTTCTGCGTCTGTTTCTATCCCTGTTTTTATCCGTAATACCAAGTTTCTGACTTCCTATGCCCTACTATCCTGTGCCAACCTAGAAATGTTGTGGTTTAACATTGAACCTATTCAAAGCAAGCACTTCCACAACAGTTGTGGGTTGGCACACAAGAGACTTTGGCATAGGAAGTCATAGACTTGGTATTAGGGATAGAAACAGGATAGGCGAGGCAGAAACTAGAACTAATTGACTGACAGTAGGCCTGTTTGACCATAGACGTTGTTCATGAAGTAAAGGGTTGATCATGACAATTACTCAAGCGCTTTAGTCTCAAATTAGCTTCCAAGAGGCAGACTGTCGGAAATAACGCCTCGAGTAACGCAGATAGGGTGGCAGGGGTCGAGTCAAATACTTGAACCAAGGAGATAGTAGATGAATCCTATGGGGCCAGAGGTAGACTCTGATAAGATCTCTGGAATGAGGACTGCGTAACAGTAGTGCAGACTTCGATCGACATTCCTAGCTTAAGGATGAAGGGGAGTGTAGGTATGAGAAAGCCAGCGTGGAGTGTGGAGAGTTCTCATGAAAGCTGCTAAAAATGGCACCATACAACAGTTAAATAAGTGAGTAAAAAATTATGGTATTGAAGGCGTGATACGAGGATATAGGATGTGTGAATAGCCCAGTACAAAATTAGATATACCACAACTGTTTAGCACACATTTGGTCAAAGAATCGGCTTCATTTGTCTCTTTGACGAGTTGTAGTGTGATGATAACATTTTCAAAACTCACTGACGATGACGGCGAAACGTCTGGTTATGTATCATGTCTACTATCCGACTGGAAATTATCATGCATACGATGGACTCCGGACTAGGTGCGTTCCTCTAAGTCTTTTTACCAATATGACCAAGTTGTGAAAACAAGGTCAAACGACGTATATACGAAGAAAGGAGACTGCAACCACATAAAAGGCCACCCTATCTTGTTCTTCATACCTTCCATCAGGATTGTAATTTAGTTAAGCATAAATTCTATAACTAATATTTCAGAGGATGTGGGCAATATGATATCATAGTATAAACTCCATCTTAATTGACATCCCGCATAGATTACTATGACCGACATTGCATTTGCCCTTTTGAAAAAAAAATTAGCTTAGCTTTGCAAACCAAATTACTACATCATCAACCTCAAGTTGATATCAATTCATCTTGATTAAAAGCAATAATTTTACTTTAGTATAATGGATTTTCAATCGTAAATGTTTCACGAAACCCGTTCAATCAACAGAATTGTGATATATGTGAGGTTCACCTTTTGTCTTAGTTTTTGTACATGAGCATATTTATATTTTGGAATTTCAAAAAAGGTTTTCATACACATTTTTTTGTACTTCGATAAGTATGCCCTATTTATCTAACCATATGTGTCATACTTAGATTAAGGCTACGAAACTTCATGTAGATATTCAATTTTGACTGTATTTACTCTAGGTTGAATCAGATGACGCAGTATTAATGGTTAAATTTTGACACCATGGCGTAAATAGGCCTTATTGCTGACCGTCTATTCTGGCCTGAAATGTATGCAAATATAGGCACAGGATCAAAAGACGCACTGGGCTATTGGATTTCACTTAGCCTTGTTCATTACGTTTTCATTTCCTATATATGTTATAATTTGTAGCTCTATTATCAGTAACATTCTCATTTATTTGACTTTAACCTAGGATCCATTTAATTCTTCTATTTAATAATAATTCATTCTCTCGAATTTCCAGGAAGGAAATCCTTCAATAG